CCGAGGCCTCCGCCCACCGCCGCGGCCCGCCCTGCCCCGCCCGCGCCTCGCCCGCCGCCTCCCGGCAGCGCTCCGGGGATCGCTGAGGCGGCTCCGGGCAGCCTGGGGGCAAGGGCACCCCTGGGCTCGCTGAGGCGGCTGCGGGCAAGTGGAGCGAACAGCCGCCCCGGGGCTCCATGAGGCAGCCTGTGGGCAACAGCAGCCCCGGGGCTGAGGTGGCCACAGGCAGGTGCCAGCAATGGCAGCCCTGGGGCTTGCTGAGGTGGCCACAGGCAAGTGCCAGAAATGGCAACCTTGGGGCTTGCTGAGGTGGCCACAGGCAGGTGACAGCAATGGCAGCCCCGGGGCTTGCTGAGGTGGCCACGGGCACCATGTGAGCAATGGCACCACTGGGTTCACCGCAGTGGCCACAGGCAGGTGCTGGCAATGGCAGCCCCAGGGCTTGCTGAGGTGGCCACAGGCAAGTGCAGGCAACAGCAGCCCTGGGGCTCACTGAGGTCACTGCAGGTAGGTGCCAGCAATGGCAACCCTGGGGCTCACTGAGGTTGCCACAGGTAGGTGCCAGCAATGGCAGCCCTGGGGCTCGCTGAGGTGGCCACAGGCAAGTGCAGGGAATGGCAGCCCGTGCTCCCTGGCCCGCTTGGTTGTTCATCTCCGACTCAGGGTCGCAAAGGGAAATTGTGTCTCGGCTCTCAGGATGGGCCCTCCCGGCCAGATCCAAGGCCCAGCTGGCACAGGAAGGGTCCCAGGGGCGGCTCGCGGGGGGCTTTGGGGCACCCATGGGCTGTGAGCACCTAGGGCAGAGGACCACGGGGGGCCCTGCCGCCCACACCACCAAGGACGACAGAGTCTCATGTCCGCTCCGACGCTTCCCCGGCGCCTCCTCACTTCTTCCAGTCCACCCCTGAAGCAGAGTCACTGGTTTCTAACTCCGGCAAAAGGGCTTTCCCACCCCAGCTGAGCTACAGCTCACACACTGCGTTTGTAGTGTCACAGGGAAGTGCTTTGGAAGAGGCAGGGAGTTTTCTTTTAATACAGTTGGAATTTAGAGAGTGAAGTTGAGAGAAGGTTTGAATAAGTCATTTATTTGGCAAAAAAAAAAAACAAAACTGACGGCAGCCACAGTGCTTTGAATTCCTGTCAAAATCAAACAGCTTCAAGCACCTCTAAAAGGAATTGCAATTTGGAAAACTAAAAGAAAAGTGATTAAAGACCTCACTGTCAGGAGCAGTGTTAGAAGTCAGGTGTCCTAGACCTGTGTGTAGACAAGGGATTTCTCTCTCCTTTTCAAGGTTTCATTTCTCTTCTAGAGAAGAAATACCAGCCTGGCAGTAACTCACGTCAGCTCCAGTTTGCCCCATTTCTGCCGTGAGACACAGCGTGTCAGTGGCACGATCATCATGGGCTACTCCGTGCTGGTAGGGTTTTGTCAAGCAGATTTGTTCAGTCCTACTTGGGAAAAGCTCCACAGACATCACTGCAAAGTATAACATGACAGTTACCAGATGCCTACAGACCTTCCAGAGGAAACACACCTTGTGTTGTCTGCTTTGGAGGTAAGCCATCCCAGGAGATGGCTCCCTGGACTGAGGACCACACAGGCGTCTTGGTACTGTGTACACAAATTGGGGAATTGTGGTTTAACTGCTCCATGGAAACCACAGTAAGCTCCACTGTTGCCGATAGTCAGGAATTTAAAATAAAATGCTGACCGTTAATAGTGAAGCTGTTGCAAAATAAAAAATATTTTGCTTATTTGAAGTTTAAATGTTTGCTGTTTCTAATAGCAGTAAATGTTTTCGCCTAGAGCTTCCCAGCTGGCTTCCTCTTCTACTCTGACTCACTCTGTTTTGTCACACTTGAGAAGTATTTAAGCCCAGAAAAGTCTTTGAAGTTATTTGTCAGCTGTCTCACAAACACGGTTTAAAAGGTACTGCAAGATGCGGTTGTGTTTTCAGCCCAGCTATCAAGCCAGACATTCTGTCAGCCAGGGAAACCTGGTGGAGTTTTTTATCCTAAGAAAACACAATCAGCTTCAAAGAGTAGCAGGATGCTATCTGGTACCAAAACGACACTAAGAATGACTTTGAACTCTCTTCTTCATAAATAATCTCCATAGTTTCAATGCAAGTTTTTGTCAAGCAAGAACCTAAATTCCGTATGAAAAAGAGTGATAAAAGTTTTGTTCTATAAAAATTGCACACTGTATTTTAGCGTAAATTTTAAATGCCTGTGATGTGATTACCTGGTGCTTCATATTCAGGATTATGATCTTGCTGCTTGGAAGTTTAAAATTCTGAAATATGGCCAGAGATAAAAGCTTCAGTTGAAAGCTGATGCCTGTCTCGTTGGATGAACAGCTTCCGGACAGACAAGCCCACGTTATTGCACATGCAGCAAATGTGATGCTAAAATACTCTGCCCAGCTACAGTTCTACTTGTGACTGCGAGCAGGGATGGATTAAAACTATGTGAAGTTGACATTTCCAGGTCAAGGCACAGGCATGAAAAATTTGCTGCGCACACTGTTGATGGAGGGTTGTGTGCCAGAACGCTCTTCGACCTTCCATTGCAGCACACATACTGTTGTCCACCGGTACAGACCAGAGCCAAAACCAGAGCAGGAAACTTTCCTTCCAAAACCACACAACCCTCAGACCCTTTGACATCTTTGAAACTCAAACATCGAGGTGACATTTTAGTCCAGGAGACAGGACTAGCTCTAGTTTGAAGTCAATCTTCTAAATCATGTGTTGTCTAATTATGGGGCTCTTAACACCAATTGCTTTAATAACTTGACCCCCTCCTATCCTGCTTCATTGCTTGATAAAGTAGACGTAGCCTCTGAAAGATGTCAGTGTTCGAACACTGTTATTAATATATGGAAACAACGATAATGTTTGTCTTTCAAAACAATAGTGTTTAGTTTGGAAATGAAAAAATATAAAAAACTTAGAGAAAAGGGTAGATGAACAGTTCGACAGTAAAAAGTCACTATGATAAAATTACCCAGCACCTCATTTAATGAAATATTATAAATACCATAGTAATATCAAAAACATTAATATTATGCAATGTGATTATATTTAAACAAATTGCTTTGATTTATTCAAATGAAAGATGAGACACATCAAAAGGTCATGAACATGAACATACAGGACTATCTAAGAATTACCCAAACCTCGTAACTGAAATAAAATATTCAGTAAGAGCTAAAAGACATTTCTCCTTTGTATAAGGTTGCACAAAAAGGAAGAGGGAGCAAAAGAGCAAATGAGATTCACAAATCTGCCTTGCAGCAAAACTGAGCAAGTGCAGGAATCCAGGATAGACTCAGAAAGTCTTTTCATTTAGAAAACTGTAAAACAAGATCATGGGAAACAAAATTACTAAGAATGAGATATCAGGGAGAGGAGATACTAAACAAGGAGCAGAAGTGAGATGCAGCAAGCTTTAGCTGAGTGTTTTTCAAACATTATTATGTATTGTGTGGTTCATGATCAAATTTGCACTTAAAAAGAGAGAATAATGTTTTCAAAAGCAGCTATTTCGCTAGTGCCTCAGGTGCAATTTTCAGTGCCAATATTTTTTTTCATTTAGAAGTCAAATGGAAATGCTGAAAAGAATTGGCTTGGAGCCAACTAAAAGTTTGGGGTTTTTTCCCCTTCTCACTGATACAAAAAAAAAAACAACAAACTTTTATTGTCAGAGGAGAGTTCCAGACAGTCAAACAACAAACATCCCACTTCATTCACAGACAACTGTAAAAAACAATGCAAAGGAAATCAAAGTCTAGCTTCACAGACTGGTCACTGAGACTCTTCCTTTTTAACAGTGTGGTTTAGATACTTAGGATTTGAGAGCCCCAGAAACAAATCCCATCTCCACCTCTTAGGATCACACCTTAGGAAAGATGTGAGTTATCAGTCCGAGGTATAACTGGAAATAAGGAGCTCTTCAACTCTAATTTTCAATTATCCATCAGTCCTTGTTCATTATTTTTTTTCACTGTACAACACAATTCCTTCCTTTAAAAAGCCAGTAACACTTGTTTATCCAACAAACATGCTGGAGGGATGTCTGGGAAGAATTCTGGCAATGAAAATGGTAGGGTAAGTGCTAAATATTAATTTGGAAAAGAACATGCTACAATTTTTCTATAAATACGGCAAAGAGTGATCATTAAGTTAGACTGTTAAGCACGAAGACAGGAAATATCATCCCTACCAACCCAGTCCACCACCTCCTCACTTGATCATGGGTTGTCATCTCTCTTCCCTGTTACTTCTACTAAGTTCCCCTCCCCAGGCTGGGCAGCCAAATGATCACTACTGTGCATTTCTCATCACAGCACTTAGGAAACAATCACGGATCCTTCTAGATACGGTATAAACACAGCTTTCGCCCCACTTGCTGAGGGGGATCTCATCTCTTCCTAGCAGTTCTCAGTCCTCAAAGAGGGGGACATCCCACAGTCATAAAAGGCAACTCCCCGTTTTCAGCACCCATTGTGTAAACAATTGTTGACCTACAGGATCCATCCATTCCTCCAGCCCTACCCCCTCACCAGCAGGACTGAGGAGAAACTAGCTGGGAACCCATGCCTTTGACTAACCCTACAGCGATGTCCTCATGCTTGATACGCTCCACGTCTCTCCTGGCAGTATCAGCAGTGACCGTGTGCTCAAAAAAAATATACCAAAAAAAAAGAATATACAAAATAAAGTGACGTGATGCAATTGCTCACACTGCCTGATGATCGATTGCCCATCCCATCACAAGCAGTGACCGTGGATTTTTGCCCCCCAGTCATCCCCCATTTCTATACTGAGCATCATGTCTATGGTATGGAATATTCCTTTGGCCAGATTTTCCTGTTTATGCTCCCGCTCAGCTTCTATGGGAAGCTGAAAAAGTCCTTGACTTAATATAAGCATTACTTGGCAACAACAAAACCAATACATGTTATCAACATTATTCTCATACTAAATCCAAAACACAGCAGCTACTAGAAAGAAAATTAACTCTATCCCAGCTGAAATCAGGACACATACATGGAGATGCTTATTTGTGTTAAACTTTTATTAAATCAAGCTAGATACTGAATCACAAACTCTTGGCTTCTGAACTGCTCAGTTTAATGAATGGGCTCAGCTGAAGGCATTTTAAGGCATCTCTTAAATTACATTATAATCTTCTGCTGGAACTTAGAATCACTTTGCAACAGAGAAGCCTATGAAAATGTCAAGTTTCACAGTAGCATGTTCTTGTCAGCAAAACCATTTTGTAGTCTTTGGATTGTGACAGACTCATCACTGGCTGAAATACGGATCAGATTTGGCTACTACAACATCAGATTAAAAAGCAGCATGAGGATATGAATAAAAAACAAGCAAAGAGGAAACAGCTCCCTATCCAAGCAGAACTTTCTTCAAAATTTTAGAAATACCGATCTACATTTCCAAAGGCAGCTAGGCATTTTGATGTTTGATTTGAGACATCAAAACAGGCTCAGGTCTCCACAGCACTAAAGTTCAGCAATCTGTAAAAAAACAATATCCGCTCTTGATGGATGAGACACTCCACAGTGAGCCCCCCCAAAACACTAGTCACTTTAGGGAAAGGCAGTGAAAGGCAGAAGCAAAATAAACACATTAACTTCAGTAAATTCAGGAACATGGGTATATATTTTTTAATTATTCTTTCTTTGACTTATTTCTCCTACATCTTTTCCTTCCATTTCTTACAGTTTCTATCTCTGCATCGCTGAACCACGTTCCTGTCTCTCCAGTTCCCTTCAGGAACTCCTGACCTTCTGCTCTATGTCTCCTCTTTCATTCCCCTTCTCTGTGCTTCTTCCTTTTCCCTTTGCTGTGCCTTTCCTTCTGGCACTAAACACAGTAGGCTCATCTTCTCTCTAGAAAGACTCTCTTCTTCATTTATTTCCATAGCCTGTATCTACTCCATCTCCCAATTAGTAAATTACCACCTCATTTCTTGCACAGAAGAGGGTGTGTGACTGGAAATGGTTTGGTGAGCACAGGAGCTGAAGGCAACTTGCTTCCAGTTTTTCTCCTGTCTTGTATCTTTTCTGCCAGCCCTTCTCCCATGAGACCTGCCTATTCCACTGCAAAACAGGCAGAACAGCTAGTGAGGAGAGCACCACTTGTCTCTAGCAGCAGTCCCTGGGAATGAAGGTATACCTAAATTCCCAAAGGAAAACCAACAGATCCCCTAAATTTCAGCACCTAAATCAGTTTGAATAAACTGTTTTGTTTTAAAGCTGTTCTTTCTTCATGGATCTTAACAGGAAACAGAAAAGATAGGATCTTTGACAACTCTGCGTGCCTTCACTACAAGTCTCAGGTTCGTGTGTTTTAGAATTATGGCAACATCTCAAACTCCAAAGCACTCTTTGGTTGTATTTTCTATGGTGTGTCTAAAATTTTCTTGGTTTAAGTACACACCAGAAGTGACTACAGCTAATACCTAGCATAGGTTAGGCCTGCTCCATAACCAACATATTCCTACAACTAGCAACACTAGAGTGAAGGCAGCATGGCAGAAGCCTGTACCAGTTAAACGCTTCTTATACTAGTAATAATTTAATTCATGCTGCTGTTGTAACTAGGATGCCACTGTCTCCAGAGCTCACAAGATCAAGATAGGAAAAAAAGACGTGCTAGTCATGCAGCTAGCTGTATTTTCAAACCACTAGCCCCTGAGAAAGTGGGAAGGTGTTTTTATTTAATGGCAAAATATGGTGAGTTCATATATTCTGCAAGCTCATGGCACTAACAATGTTCCTCTTACAAAGCTAATGAACTTTTCTTTCCTTAGGGTTGGAAGCTCTCACCTTCCACTACAAAGTTACTATGTTTCATTAAAAGCGAGAAGATGGGCACATTGAGAAGCCCATGCTAAAATCCAAAAGCTCATAAGGAACAGTTCTGGTCTACAAAAGTCATACTCCACAGACCATAAAGAAAGAAATAGCTGCCCCAGAGCACCAGCTGACCATTGCAGGCAAATGCTAAACTGCCTGAAATGATCCCTAGATCAATCTCTTTTCAGGAGGCACATCGGAGGAGAGCTTTTCCAAATATTTGAATTTGTTAAGGTTGGATGTTCAGAAAGGCAGGTAAGGTTCATTATGTACATGAAACCAACACTCACCACCTATCAGTAGGAAACAAATTATTATTCCACACATTTACAAAAGGTTTCAGAACATGAAATAAGGTGACATAACATAGCAGTTCTAAACACATATCTTATGCAAAGATTTCAAGTCTGTTGGCAACTTACTAAAGGAAGAGGTGGGTTGGCTCTGCAGAAAGATGCACAGATTACTATAAGACCATATAGGTAAACTACAGTTCTGTGAGATGCCTGCGAACTACAAAATAATATTACCCTGCAATTTTAAAATGAGGTGTTATAGCCAAAGTTTCTTATTATTGACTCTTACTTTTCGTTCCTCCATGCCTTGAGTAGAATTGTGGCTGTAAAAGTAAACCGTTTCTGTTCTGCGACACTTGTTTCAGGTTTCCAAGGGAGAAATTCTTTTTCACACTCCAAATTCCTTCCAGAGCCGCTGTTAATAATTTGTCAAAATAATACCGTTATAACTGATTACTTCAACTTGTTCTAGAATTAATGTAACTTTTAAAAGACAGTCCCTTTGGCATGTACAGTAATTAGAAGTAGTTAAGCAGAACATTATAATCTTCCTCCCTAGTTAATGAAAAGAGATTGACATCTTCAGAGAGAAATTCAGATTGCTAAAGGTATACGACGCTCTCTACTGTCTGAAGAACAGCTTAGGACTACTAGGCTCCTGAAACAGGGTGTAGCTGGTCTATAATGCACAAGAAATAGCAGTAATATCAGTGATGCATCCAGCATGATTTATTGGTCATACTGGAATACCAACTGCCCTCATAAAAAGATAGCAAAACAACAAACCCCCACCACAAAAACAAAACCAACACCACCACTGAAACAAAACAAAAAAGCTAATTTATTTTGTGGAAAGGTTACAATTTACTAACCATCTAATTTATGTAAAATAATAAGTTTACTAATTATCTACACTGTAAATCAGTAACTATCCAACCTGACAATTGTTAATCAGAGCCCAGGCCACCTAGGGAGCATCTCTAATTCTCCAGATGTATACAGATGAAAAAGGAACTAGGTACTTCCTGAATAGTCTGTACACCAGCATCTATTCGACCTTATTATACATAGCATTGTTATGCTATGCATACAACTACGCTGTACGTACCATTTATATACTAAGCTTGTTTTACATTCATATATACATTCCTGTAATTAATATTTTTGTAGTGTTTCTATATTATCTGTAGTACTTTTAAGCCTTTGTAAACATACATTTAATTGGGAGACTCACCAGAAATCATGAGAACATATATGGTAACATCCATTTACATGATTCAGACTGAAATGTTTCAGACAATTTTGATCCATTGGCAGACAGATGCAGTGAAATATAGTTGTGTTCAGACACATGAGCAGCTTGAGCAGACTAAGGTTTACATCTGCAATTCAGTTACTTGTTCAGAACCCCCATTATAGTCAATAGGAAAAGAACGGGCATTTTTAGAGCACGACACATGCAGTGCCTTTTTCTCTCCATTTACTCTAAAAAGAGCCTACACAAGTAGTAGCTAATTTGCAGGTGTGTGCTGTAATTGCCTAAGGAGCCTAATCACAGAAATGGAGCCTAATCACAGAAATGGAGTTGCAGATTCAAACAGTCTTTACATCTGAGAGGATACTGATTACATCACCCCGCTTATGTACATGCCTGTCTGTCAATCCAACTGTCTTAAATTCATTTTGAGTGAGTTTAGACTTGGTTCTTAATCCTACATAACAGAAAGCTTAAGGAAAATAGGAAGATTTGGAAAGAAAGGCAAAAATGTTCTTATTACATTTGTGGAGGATGTAATGCTTAGGAGAGACAGTGGTGGGCCCGTTCCAGCAAAATGCGGCTTAATATAACCAAGGAATAGCTTTATGTAAGAGAATGTGAGGCTACAGAATGGGGATTGTGTATTGTGGAGCAAAAGCATCAAGGATTTAGAAGTAACAGTTGACAAACAGTTCAAAGTCCCAGAGCTAACATTATCTTTAATGTAGCTCTAAAATAAGTAGATTCTCTTCCTCTACAGGCTACTGGTGATACAAATACTGAAATATCGTGATCAGATTTGGTATTCACATTTTAAAAGAGGATGCAAAACAACTGCTGAGAGTACATAAAGAGCCAAAACCAAATATATGTGTTGTATATACCTTCCCTGGAAGAAAATTCAGGTACTAAATAAGGCACTATTATGTCTCCAAGAAAAGAAAGGAGCTGAATCATGCAAATCCAAATTATGCATCAGGCTTTTTTTTTTTTTTAATGCACCAACCACTAGAACAAACTAATGAGTTTGTTGTGGAATTTTGGAATTTATTTGTGGTTATTATTGTGGAATAACCAAGTTTACTCAGCAGACTCTACAGAGACGTCCCTACTAAAATCCCATACCTTGGCTGATAAAGGCAATATGACTTTGTAGTCAACCGGATAAAATGACCTATCCTTTAACATTACAAACTTCTGGGAATCAATTTTCTACAATCAGATTAGTAGATTTTACGGTTGCAAGAGACCACCAGCATGGTGTAAGTTTTGTCTTACACAGGTCATGTGGCTTCAGGCTCACCCCTACGCCAAGAACAGCAAATGAGCTTGGACCAGGGCTAATGCTTAAGTGCAAAATATTTAAAGTGTGCATTAAAAATGGTGAATCTAAGTGATCTTTGTTAAATTGTTCCAGTATTAAGCTCTCTTTTTGTTAAAACCTCCTAATTATTTCTACTCTGATCTTACCTCATTTTCACCTCCAGTTCTCAGAACTTGCAATAGTTCAGCTAGACCAAGCACCTTGCTCCCTCTTAGACTTCCATTTCCTTATTTGCCTACTGTAATCAAGTCTCTCCATAACCTTTAAGCTGCCTAAACAGACTGATTTTCTAATTGCTTTCACTGTTTTCCTGTCCTTTATCATTCTTATCAACTCCTTTTCAACACCAACGTCAGTTCTGAACTGCTGAAGGGGACAAACTATTCTGATAACTACAGCACTTCTTTCAAAGAAAAAGGTAAGAAAACCTCCCTGCTGCTTGGCATTTGTTTCTGGTTTATTAAACTGATAGATCATATGGGATTATCCATGTCCTCTACAGTCCCATAATTTCAGACCAAAAGAAAAAAAAGTGATAAAGACTATGTGCAATTCTTCCGTTTTAAAATGTTCCCCCAGCTATTTCTGGGCTGTTTTAATAATAATTTTGCCACAGTTCCTCAAAATTATGTAAATTTCATTTGTCCTGACAAACACTTGTCATTTGCTGATAAGGAGGATTACCTGCAGCTGGGTGTTTGACATGGCACGCTTCTTTCCGGAAAGAAAGCTCTTCTTCGAGTATTTCTTTAACTCTCCTAGATGGCTCAACATACACAACTTTCTTCCCTGTTAGTAAAACACATCACAAAAGAACCAGTTATTTTAAATCCCCCGAGTGCTCACGTGCTTTGTCGAATGTAATGCCATTTTATGCTGCTCTACACCTGTCTTTAACACACTTTTAAGACCAGTCTTTTACAATTCGGCACTGGTGTTGGGCCAGGCCCTGCTCCCCAGCGTGGAACCGTTCCTCAGGACAGGACCGTGGTGGGTAGATCTAAAAGGGGAGTGAGTGCTGTGGTGGCTCTCCCATGCAGGTGGCCTCTCGAGGAGACAAGGCCACCCTGTCTCCCCATGGCGAACAACCCAAGGCAGGACCACCCATAGAATCATAGAATGGTTTGGGTTGGAAGGGACCTTAAAGATCATTGAGTTCCAAACCCCTGCCATGGGCAGGGACACCTCCCACCAGACCAGGTTGCTCAAAGCCCCATCCAGCCTGGCCTTGAACACTTCCAGGGCTGGGGCATCCATGACTTCCCTGGGCAACCTGTTCCAGTGTCTCACCACCCTCACAGGAAAGATTTTCTTCCTAATATCTCATCTAAATCTCTCCTCTTCCAATTTAAAACCGTTGCCCCTTGTCCTTTCACAACACTTCCTGACAAAGAGTCCCTCTCCGGCTCTCCTGTAGGCTCCCTTCAGATATTCAAAGGCCACTATAAGGTCTCCCCAGAGCCTTCTCTTCTCCAGGCTCTTCTCCATGAAGGAGGCCTCCAAGATGTCCTCACTGAGGGGGATCTCCAAGGAGCTGAAGAGGGATTAGAGCATCTCATGGCGGCAGGAGGGTCCCTACCCACCCCCATGCCGTGGTGGGGTGCCGGGGGAGGCGAAGGGCTATGCAAGGGGACGGCGGGGGTAAAGGCCCGGCTCCCCGGAGGGGACGCGGCGGGGCAGGGCCGGGGTGGGGAAGGGGAGCGGAGGCCGCA